CTTTTTCTTCTGAGGTACAACAGGAGCTGGTTCTTTGACTTTGGCACAGCTAGCAATGAGACGTGTGGGATGGACACTTGACTTTGGCTTTGTAGGCTTGGGTCTTGGGACTACCTTTGGTCATGCAGTCAGAGGTGGTTCAAGATTGGTTGGAGCAGCAGGAGAATCATGAGTGGTGACAAGTTCAGAAGGAGCAGCAGCAGGTTTGGAGTTGGCAGGTTTTGCAATGGAAGTGCCTCACTTCAAGGATGGTGGGAGTGACAATGGCGAAGATGAAGCGAGAGACGATAGTCTACTAGGTGGAGTGACGGGACAGTGACTTGGGGGAGGAATTGCAGTGGGCTTTGGAGGAGGAAGATGAGGCAGAGCACTGGCAACAAAATTGCTAGTTGCTGCAGTCAAGGGGGCCCCTTGTTTATGGGCAGCGTGTTTCACCCTCATTTTTGCAAGATCAGAGTCAGCGTTATTCGAAGCGGCCATCATTGCCTTGGCTGCATGTTTGCCAAATACCTGTCTGTAATACTTGTTAGTAGACACTGACAATGAACTGAATACATACTCATTAATCCATTTGAGTGTTTCCACTGCCCATGGATCCTTGGTATCATCGAGTGTCTCGACAATGGTGAACTCCTTGAGGTTGAATGAGCCAATGGTAAGCCTGTAGGAGTTGCAGTTGCATAGGGAGAACCATGCCTAGTGTTATAAAATCAGTACACCAGTCAAATAAAACAACAAATACTCACCACACACACAGCCCAGGCCCATGACTGCAGTGTCACTTTTGTTAGCCCGTACATGGTGCACTTTGACTTTCCTCCGCCATGCTTGCTGTCTTCATCATCATTATCTTGTGATCCTGCAGCAGCAGGCCCTAAGTATAGATGCTGAAATGCCTGCAAAAAAATTGGTGAACTTAAGTGACTAGAATCAAAAAAGTATGTACCCTGATACCTGCATGTCCACGGAATAGGCCAGTGATCAGATCTTCTACATTGCAAGCAGCATCAGCAGGATACAGAAAGGATGGCCAGTTTGTAGCAAGCAGAGGCCATCCTCCATCTTGCAGACGTTGTATCCCTCTATGAATAGAGACTGAATTAGACAACACATTATGAGCTAAGAAATACTCACAGGTCAGTATCTTTGTCAAATTCATCAAGCCATTTCTTGGGGCAAAGTTCCCATGCTAGTCAGGGATGATTGATGCTGTGGTTTGACTTGCAGGAAGACTTTGGGACCAGAGGTTGGAGGGTATCAGTGCTGTGGTTGGCAAGAATGTACTCAAGCATTGAGTACTTCAGGGATGAAAAATTGTCAGAGTGTTGGGAGCTCATTGAACTATTGATCTATATGTTTGTAGTCATCAGTTAGGTGCATATATGCGCATATATCCATCAACTCACCGCTGTAATGTAAGGTTTGAGCTCATCATATGACAAGTTGTCGAGATTCGCACAGAAGCCTGGAACAAAATCTAGAATAGTGTTGTAACATGCGAGAAATCGTGTCTGCTGCTCCACAGATCTGGCAAACAAATCAGATTAAGTTCCAAAGTGGAAAGTGACTTACATATTTGAACTGGACAAACCACCCTTATCGAGGGTCATCCCATAATGAAATGCAAGCAACACATTTGTGAATGGATTTAAGGTAGTGACTGCCTTGCGCCCAGCTGTGCGGTATTCTGATAATGCATCACTCAACCTTAAGTCATGTAATAGGGGTGAGCCCATGATCATTAATGAATATGAAACTTACTTGATCTTCTTCTGTCAGCCAGTAGCAGTCAGATTATCAAGAATCTCATCTGTTGAAGTGCATTTTTTGGAGCTGGAAGTGGACAACAATGCCTTGGAGTCTGAGGAAGACATGGTAGGGTGAGGTAAACAGGGGAAAATATGGGGATTGTTACCACATATGTCAGAATTTAAAAACATTGATGGCTGTGGAGTTTCACGATCATCAGAGGCCAACATTTAATTACCTAGTAGTACATTTTTTTACATCTGAGCAGCCCATGTACCCATCGCTGGCCAACACATCATTTGGTTGCACACAACAGCAATTTGACTACTGCTCCACACAAGGTAATGGCAACTTGCAGGGCGATTATTCCACTCAGCACAGCTACTTCCCCCAACCTTCTGCTCCCAGTGCCATCGCACCACAGCACTTCCTCCTTAGCAACTCTATGACATGGTTCTCCCTTCTGCTCTGCAAGATGCTGCTACATTGGTGCTTCTGAGCAATCATCTTTAGCCTGTTTCTTCCCAACTCTCCATCTTGCCCGAACACTATGTACAACCGCATGCCTCAGCTCGAGTCAGGGACTGTGTCTGCTTTCAATCCCACCACACCATTCTCAAGCACGGTCACTCCACTCTCGTCTCATGGAGTCTGGTTCAAAGCTCACTTTGTCCAGGAAGGCAAGAACGCCCCCAGTCAAGTCATGAGCATTTTCTGCACATGCCTTATTGCAAATGGCTGTATCCCTTCTCATCACCTTCATGAAGGGCAAAGTCACAGCTGCAGAGGCTCGCTGGCCCAGTAACATTATCTACATAATGTCTGTTTCTTCTTTTTTCTTGGTTCCTTCCCTCCCTTCCCTCCCTATGCAGTTTATGTTCTCCTATTTAGCTTCTGACACATATATCCTTTGCTACTCCAACTTGTCATACTAAATTCTGTGGACACACCATCATGCACTCCCTCTGCACCTACCAGACGTCTTGATAATACATCAACTCCTTACTATGTCGAGGCAGTTTCAGTCTTGAAGAACATCTTCTGGTCATCCTCCTTCAGGCAAAACTAACTCAAAGTGATCAACACCACACTCAACGGCAAGGATGTCTTCATCCTTCACCTTAATGCTCACTGGTGGTGGAAAAAGTCTCTCCACTCATTGTGCTCATTGTGGATCAAGTGGCATCCTTGTGAGAGAAGCATCTGAATGCTCAGATTGTAACCCTATCAGAAATGAAGTCCAGCTCCACAATCTAAGGTTAGATTATCAACTGGGGCCATGGATCTCAACCACCTGCCCTTATGCACGATGACCTGCAGATTTTGATCGGGTGGCAGGTCTGACTTCAGATAAAACAAGTCAGGTCTCTGCTGACTCTCCATCCCAGTGCATGCCTGCAGTGACTTGGGCAGGCACATGCAGGCAATGCTGGCAAAGTACACCATCCTCTCACTCCTCACCATTATTCTTACCATGTCGTTTTCATGCCCTGCCTGCACTTATACTGCCACATTGGCATGTGGTCTGTTGATGCACCAGAACCAATGGTGCAAAGGCCTTAGAGACATCTCAAACAAAGTCATGAATGCCCACCATGAGTGCCAACCTCCACAACCTCCTGTACTGCATGCTCAGTCAGAAGTCCCCTTGCATGGCGAGGCAAGCCAGCCAGAGTTTGAGAATCTTGAACCATATGTAAGTAAATATTTCTTTTGTTGGAGCAGTACAGGAGATTAATGCTGCTGTCTAGGAATTGCCGGTGCACCATTCGCCCTTGCCTCCACCACCACAACGAGCATCAGGTCTCCCCAAATTGCAGATGGCAGCTACTGCACACTACCGAGATGAACTTCCTGCCCTTCCCATCCCCATTCCTATTCCACCACCAGCGGATGATGTAGACCATGCTGTTCTGCAATCTCCTGTTCATTCCAACTTGGGTATGCTGAATCAGAAGGAGATGTGTGGGTACACACCAACCAAGGACATGTTTGGCACTTTCCATTCATACCAATGAACTTTCCCTTCCTATGATCCCAAGAACACCTCATCATTGGATAATGTTTGTGACTCTCACACATTCCAACGGCTGATGGTTCAAACGAGCATGAGCGGCCCTGGCTTACAGGCTTTGGCACTGCTATTAAAGCAGTCAATTGAACCTTTTTTGCACTGTTTCTCAATGCTACTACATTTCATCTCATGAACTGGTTTTATGAGTCATCCAGTGGTAACTCACTTGCCAACATGATTACCTTGTACGGGGGTCATAGCAGATGACTTTGAGCACGAAGACCTCAGAGGTTTTCAGCTTCAGGAGGCCAAAAGAATGACTTTGAGCACGAAGACCTCAGAGGTTTTTCAGCATTTCAGGAGGCCAAAAGAATGGACCAGGCTGATGAGGACTCAAATTCAAAGCTGTTTATCACCTCGGACAAGTGACATGAGGCACCTGTAAACATTAAGCTACCTGCAGAGAAGCACAAGTATATGTCAGAAGCTGATTGCACCTAAATGTGCCATGGACGGACTCTATTATCGGAAGCCTCTGGAGGTTAGCAAGTCAGCCTACGAGGAAGTTGCATTGAAATCATTCACAATGTCCCATACAAATTTTTCTGGCAGCCTGACAAGGGCGAATTTCAGAACGTATCATCACAGAGGTTTACACAGCCAATGCCATGCTCAACAAGCACCAGAAAATACAGGCACAGTCCCATGAGCCTGGTTGCCAGCTGGAGACTGTCATTGCTTCATCATGCTTTGGTCAGATTCAATGCACCTTGCTTCATTTGGTCACACTGCACTGTGGCCCATCTACATGTTCATTGGAAATCAGTCAAAGTACCTTAGGAATTGTCCCTCTACATTTGCTGCTCATCATCTGGTGTATATCCCAAAGGTTTGCATCTGTTTTGTGATTGACTTTCAGAACAAAGTTTTCTGATTTACCTTTGAGTTACCGGATATCATCCATGAATATTATCACAAATTGTATGGGCAAGCAGTGACAAGTGCAGTGCTCACACATCTCAAGCGAGAGCTTATGCAAGCCATTTAGTTGTTTCTCCTCAATGACAAATTCATGCACACATATAAACATGGTATTGTGGTGTGGTTTGCTGATAATGTGAGCCATAGAGTGTTTCCTCAATTTTTTTACATATGCTGCTGACTATCCTGAAAAGTAAGTACTCTCCTTGCACCAGTATCTGATGAGATTTGATCAAACACCATCAGAATACTTCTTGCATGCATTAAATTTCTGGGAAAATTTCCCTGTCCATGCTGCCTCATTCCTCAAGACAAGATTACTGACCTCAGGATGAAGCTGGATAGGCTGTGGCATAAAAGGGATGTACAATTGGATAATCATGCACGCAGGAGTACCATCAAGAGAGTCCATGATTGGATATTTACCAAGGACACGCCATTGGAAGCACTGTGATTGATAAGGTGCTAGGGCCAACATCACTGGTACCAACATGTGTAAGTTTCAAACGTTGTCAAGAGAACTTTGGCTGATAGAATCAAAGAATGCATTTTCTGAATGACTATCTCAGTTTGGATTCGACTTCCATTCAATGTTTGTGCCCAACTTCATGCATGAATTCGAACTCAGTGTTTGGAAGGGAAACTCTCACCTATCTACTACAGATTCTGCATGCATTTGGTGGAGATACTATGACACAGTTTGATACTAGGTGAGTTCTGTGCTCTCATGCATCCAAAGACTAATACTTAGAAGATTTCACTGCATGCCAACATTTGGGAGGGACACTATTCAAAAGTTCAGTCGGAATGTGTCAAATCTTGCAAAACTTGCTGCAAGAGATTATGAAGACTTGTTGCAGGTCCATCCAGCCTTTAGTACCATGTTAGTTGTCTAATGATTCAACTAGTGTTGTATTCCAGTAATGGAGGGCTTAGTACCTGATCACGACGAAGTCATTCTTGACTTAACTCTTTGAACTTGCGACCTGGCATGCACTTGGAAAGCTTCAAATGCACACCAAAACAATACTTCATTTCCTCAACAACTCGACTACCAGGCTGGGATGAGCTCTCCACCGCTTCAAGCAGTTTACATGTGATTCATTTGTGGCACAAGAGCTACCCAAAGAGGCCGCTGCTTGGGGGTGCCATAAACCTGCATATTCTGCCAAGGGGAAGTTGAAAGCTGTACTGACAAAGAAGAGGAACACCACCAAGGGAACTCGACAATGAGTTTCAACATGTCTACCTACAAGTTGCATGTGCTTGGTGACTATGTGAAGTTAATTGGTTGTTCAGGACAACTGACAATTTTTCAACCCAAGTGGTGTGCTAATGCAATTATCTCCTCTTGACTTAAGATTCTAGCTTTGATTGCAGGGCAAGCTGGAGCATCGCCATGTGAAATGCTTTTATGCCTGCACTCACAAGATCAAAATTGCACAGGGTATCGCAAAACAACAGCACCATGAACGACTCCTTCACAAGCTTCAACAGAAGGCTGCTACACAACAAGCAGAAGATTCTTCTCCGTCAGTTGGTTTTTCTGAAAACAGAGCCATTGCTACAGTGTTCTCCTGAGACCCAGTATCAGATTTCCAACTCATGCTGCCAATACTGGGACATCACATCTTAGCTGTACAAGAACTGCAAGGACCTCACAGTGAAGGTATCTATCAGTCTCTAGTATTTGAGTCTATCTAATTTTGGATAGGATTTTTTACCCCGACTCAAGGACCATATTCTTGCTTGATTTTTCAATTACGATGATTCCAAGGAGCACACATTTACTGCTGTACAACGGAACTCCCTCATCATCATCAACAATAAGATCTATAAACACAAAGTGCTTTCCAAAGAATGCTTAGACCCAGCATAAGCAACATTGTGCCAATAACATAAGTGGCCAGCTCCCATAGGAACAAGTCCTGATGGACTGGTCCTGAGGCTGAAAAATCAGTTATGCCCTTTGACAGCCTACAGTATCCTGACTGGTATGCCAGGAAGAAACACTGGCATCCATGGGTACTGCACAACCAGGATGGATTGTGGTAGTACCAACTCACCCATGGCTACACATTTCTTGATGAAGTCAGAGCCAAACAAGAACTTTCAGGTATGGTCAAAATTCTGGGAGTCATATATAAGCATCTCTGACCCAAGGGCCCAAGACCTGACAATGTGTACTTCATTCATGATCTGAATCTTGGCCTTCCTTGTCATCAAGACCATGTCTTCAGATTCATGCTTTCCAGCAGTGGTCACATCTGGTAGCTGAAAGCTCACTGTCTAGATAATGTGGATAAATACCTGAAGAAAACATCTGACATCCCAGGATGCTGAGTACATGTTGGCTTGGGGGCTAGATCAGCTAGGAGGCATGGATGTCATTGTGGACCTGACATGGTGTGACAATCATGTTCAGGCTGGCCTGCTAGGACCACATTCTGCAATCCCCACCCAGTCTGCACATCTCCTACCCATCTCTGACACTTTTCCACATCTCTGCATCTCTAATGTATCGAACCCACTCAGAGATCCTGCACACTTGTCCTACCATGTCTAGTCCAGTCACACCTATCCCCACTGGTGTGTAGTCAGTTATTTCCCATTACTGATTGAGTAGACATTGTTATTATATGGATTCCCACTGGCTGCAGTACCTCATGGCCTTTTACCTACATATTATTGGACCTGCATTTTTGCTACTGCTTTCACCTATGGACTCTGGATTTTCACATAGTTAGTTATATAGGGTTGGGCGACCAGAATTACAATCACCACTTAGTAAGAGAGAGAAATCCCCAATACTGGTCATCCCATACCTGTCCTTAGAGTTACCCCCTGCAATATACCTGTTGACCTGCTCTTCTTGACCCGAAACTATTATTACTCATTCAACTGACATTCCCTAGCATCTCCAAGCTAGTCCTAACACATTCCCTTCCTTTCCCTCACTCTCCCACCATCTCCACATCTCCACACCTGCAGACCCAATTTCCCACACATTGGACTTTGTCCCATACCTTTGGACTCAATCCCTGACCCTTGGACTTTTGACCCCTTTGTGTAGTACTAATTGTTGAATTTGACTAGATAGCAGATCCCTTGGGTCGAACATTCTTGCTTGCAAGTGTAGCAGCTAGGTATTCTAACAACTATCTAGCCAAGTTGTGTTATCCACAATGGGACCAAAGAGAAATGAACATTGGGCTGTACCTGTAGCATAACATCCTGGTCTATTACCCTTGGACCTTATCTGCTGCTGCTGACAGCACATTCTGCCACCTGTTCCCCTCCCACTTGTTATCACTGGGTGATGACCATGAAACATACTGAAATCCATCTCCAAATGTTGATTTCTTTCTGCAGCTGCTGTTACCCAGTAAGAGAGGCTTGGCTGTGACAGCCCCAAAACCACCTCCCTTGACCCATCATGTTTTGAACTTCCAGGGTTAGATACCCAGATCTATCTCCAGGAAAGCAGGCCAGCACTGCTTCCAGTTATTTTACTTTGAGGAACATCTGATAGATGAGAGTCAGACTCAATCATATCTTCACATCTTTCATAGATTTAGACCCCACATCTCACCAACACCAGAGTATCTAGTCACAGATTTGTGTATCAGAGAGAGATGGAAGTTTGATCATGCCCCCCCTGCCAGTCAATTTATGATATGGCAGCCCAACAGCCAAGGCCCACCAAACCCACCACCTTGGTGCCAGTCCCATCACTGTCAGACTCCTCATGGGGCCTGATGATCCACCTATTACTCCACAAAGACACTGGTGTCCTGCATGATTTGGGAATCATGTAGAACATATATATGACATATCATCTCATGTTTCCATAGTCTGTTAGCTTAGTCCTCAGACTACACAGTGCTTTGAGTATAGAGTCAAGTGCAATATTTCACTTTGCATGCTCCAATTATGCAAAAATATGGTGTGTTGAAGAAAAAGTCAAACATAATGAATAAATCATATATTGACCTAGTCCAAGTTGACGGTCATACAAAAGCTTAGGTTATTGCCTATCTTTTGGCTTATTTACTTTGACTAAAAATAACCAAGGAGAAAAGATAAAAGCCTACCAAAACCCTATCTAAAAAACCTATATTTTGATTTGTTCTGTCTTATGATTTATTCTACTTTATTTTCTTCATGTTTTTCTTTCATTTCTTTATCTACTTGATTCTTTGACCTCCCAGAGACTCCACAAGATGTACATGCAGGATATGATGTCATGATAATATTATATAGCTCCACAGGAATTTCTGGAATATTCTGTTGGATACTATGATGTCATCTATGATGTCATAGTGATGTCAGATCCTGGTGTCACTGCAGACTTGACAGCCTGGTCTTTTTCCTTTCCTTTGGGTCTGTTGCAGCTGGAAGACTGACCAGAGGGATGGCAAGAGCCAGCATTTTTGGGACCTGACTGCACCCAGCATCAGGATAAGCAAGTGGCAGGACAAAAGTAATGAACACACCTGGGGGATTTTGGGTTGTTCGTGTTTTTGCAATCTAGCAGGCACAGAAGACTGATCACTTGGTTAGTTTACTGCCTGGATACCAGGGTGACAAATCTGCAGCTGGACGCTTGGAAGTTGCAGGAACAGAGGGCTGGGTATCCACATCCATGGGCATCAGTGGATTGGTCTCAGCCACAACTTGTGCACCAGCTTTGGCAGCAGCCTTAGCCTTCTTGATATTGGATTCCAGCAGTTCCAGAACAATCCTCAGGCACTTATGCCAGCTTGTCTCATCTATCTCCACCATTGGACTATGTTACTCTGTTTGGACTTCAGGTCCATCTTTGACCAATTAATATGCTCCCCAGTTTTGTCGGGTGAGGATCCATAAAGTGATCAGATGACAGGATCAGTTTCAGATGATGTCGACCAAGTTACCAAATCTGTGATACCATTCATAACAAAGGGAGATTGAACAAATTGGATGCTCACCAAATATGGTCAAAGCTGGTTGGTCAATTTGAGGCCCTGGTAGCCAACAAGTTGAACCCAGAGGAGATATTCTGTGGGTGTGATACATTGCTTGTGCCCATGAGAATAGGATGCTAGAGAACCATTGGCACATCATTTTGTTGGATGTGGGTATCTGCTGTTCTTGGAGATGATCAGTGGAGGGATAGAATTTTTCCTAGACCTTGTCAAAAAAGGCCTCACACAGATAGTACAAATACACAGACCCTTGAAATAAGTTTTATCTGGTCTGTGCATTAAAGTGTTTACAGAATGACATGTACCACAGTGCATACATTGTGTTTTATAACAATTGGCAGAGTGGTTTTGAGGAAGTAGGAATGTAGATAATGTGGTGATGTGAGCGTAACACTGGAAAACAGTCCATGGATTTATTACAGGTTCCACAGTGATAGAGCTCTGGGTGCCAATCTTTGTGCATTGTACTTGCCTTATTCCAGTAATG